ATAAATACCCTGCTGATGTCACCTCCAAGTGCATTTATGAATTCACGTGCACTTGCGGGAGCAAGTACATTGGAAGGACAGAAAGAAGGGCTTCTATCCGGTTTTCTGAACATATTCCCAAAATCCTGTGCCTGAAAGGAAGCAGATATTCCCAGAGTGCAATTACCAGACACATTATTGATACCGGACATCTCCTAGAGATTCCTAAGTCCTTCAAAATATTAAATAGACAAAGGACAGCAAATTTACTACGATTTGCCGAGGCAATCGCAATCAAAAGACTTAAACCAGACTTATGCATACAGAAAGAGAGTGTGATTAACCTCTCACTGTCTTGGTAACAGAATTTTGATTTTGATTAGTCATCTAATTCAGTGATCTCAACTCAGTAAACAAATCTTAATCCCATAAACTGTAACCGTTTTTGTTTTTTGAGTTGCTATGTGATCCTACAAGCTAACACTGTTCTGTTTATCAATTTTTCTGTTTTCTGTCTTACCCCTCCCCCCTCTTTTCAACTTTAAAATCGTATAAATTGATGAAAACTTACACTAAAAAAATTGTAATGCTTTCATTTTGGATGCGTCAGCTTTATAGTATCTCTTCTCTACCACCACTCAAACATTAAAGTATGTTACTATCATCTATAAAACCATTGTAATTTCAGGTAGTCTGCGGCTGATGAGAACCTGTGAAATGGAATGATATCATTTTATACTGCAAACTTCGTCTTCCTTTCTTTATCGGAACTATATTGTTCTTCGTTATTACTATTCCTTTGTCTCACACCTCTGTTTACTGTCTCTATGATGCATTTCTTCCACTTTCTTCTCTTGCTTTATGTGCTACATGGAGTGTGGCGACTTGAACTGTCGCACATATGTGCAAAGTTCCACGATGAAAACAGACAGACAGACAGACAAATAAACTTTTCGAGATATCCATCTTTTACTCAGTAATTTTCTGATAATCGTGAGTTCTTTGTTAAGACCATCATTCGATCAGATTACTCTAGCAACCAACAACAAGCAAGAGCCGATTGCTCAAAAAATATGTAGGAGAAAATGGAGATGGATTGGGCTTACGTTGAGGAGACCGTCGAATGACATCGGGCTAGGCCATCACTCGAGTGGAATCCAAATAGGGAACGACGAGTGGGTCATCAGTGTGAGAGTGACATGGAACAGATCGTTTGGGGTTGAGGAGATGGGAAATTATAGGCAGTCGTGGATCCAGCTAAAGAGGACGGCAGAAAACAGGAAAAAATTTTTTTATTTTTTATTTTATGGTTACAGCTTGATTCCACACCGTATTTTTTGGTACAAGTGTGGAATTTTCAGCGTGGATATCGGTAGCCCAAAATTCGCAGGCCGACCATAGATATCAGGTGTGCGTCGGCGAGGGCTCGAACCCCGGACCATGTGCATGATCGGCGAGAGTCCTAACCACTGTGCCACCGACGCACAAATGTGTTGTTGAAGTCCTATGTTCCACTTGGAACCCAAGGGAATAATAATAATAAATTGCCTTTAAATTTCAAAGGAATAAAATGATTCTTGGTGGTAAAATTTAGTGTAAAATGCAAGTGATTAAATTTATCAAGACTGCGCTTTTGAAATAATGGAAAAGATTTGTAGCTCAAGTGGATGATATTGAATTAATTGTGTCCTCTGAGCTGGTTGATTTAATCGAGAAGTTTTCGTCATCCTTCTAGACAACATCTTCAACGCAAGTTTTCGTATAAAATGAACTCATTTATATCCTTCATGAATGATGTAATTGTATTTCCTGGCGATCACTATCGTGACTGATTGTTAATTTACGTCTCTGTTGATTATTTTTATTAACTTGGAATTTGATGCTTCTTGTCATGTGATTTACTTTTTATTAGCTGGCAAATTTGGTCTATAATAATTTGTCTGTTAACTGCTAATTAACTTGACTACCAATCAGGCTTCTAGGAATTCCCTGCTATTTTTGGTATTTCCCCTATTTAAAATCTCTAGCAACTTTTCTAGAAAGTTCGAATTCCAAGTCAATAAAAATAATCAATAGAGACGTAAGTTAACAACCAGTCGCGACAGTGGTCGCCATGAGACACAATTACATTATTCATGGAGTATTCAAATACATTCATTTCACAATACTAAAACCAGCTCTGAAGATGTTGTTTAGAAGGGAGACAACGAAAGCTTCTCAATCAAATCAACTAGCTCAGTAAAAACACAACTAATTCAAGACTGCTCTTTGCTTCATTTCCATTTTTTTTTCAGGATGAAAAATGTGAAGGACAGAAGAATTCTAGTTTGCCAGTTAAATCTTTCAAGTGTCCATTATCTAATTTTTTGAAACAAAGGTCAGTTGAAGTTGGCAATCCTATAGCTACACCATATGTACGATTTCTTATCAGATAAAAAATGAACATTCCCTGTGCATTTCAAAAGAAGTTGGTTCATAGAAGATACAGGAATGCCATTATCTATGTATCGTCCAATAAGTTCTTCGCATTTACAATCCACTGTTTCGAACAATGATAAATTGGTGAATAAAGAAGATAAGTCAAACGACAGTCAGTTTGTTCTTCACATATGAATATTTTTCCATTTCAAAACATTCGAAGGTGTTCTTTTAACTCTGTCTTATCAACTGAGTATGCAGAAAGTGTAAGGATTTCACGAAGTATTTGGCTATCGGATGACAAAACGAGTTTAGCATATCTCGTACTCGTTCAAGTGGTAAGCCAATCGCGATGAAATACTCAGCTTACATCAAGTGATCAACAGAAACTAGGAATACTTATTTATTTGCAAATTTAATTGATTCAATTAAACTAACATCCTTTTACGAGTTGATCACAGATTGATATCAGTCAGAGGACCACTGAAAACCAGGGAGTACTGGACAGCTGCTGTTTCATCCTAGTCTGGGAATCATCGTTAGTACGCACCCACTCGGATTCGAACCCAGGTTCTTCCGGTTACAAGGCAAGCTTGTATACCATTCATCCACTGGGACCCGATTCAATGGCTCGTGAATTCTTACTTCTACTAATTCGTGATTTAGTGGGACATCCATCCACATACGTGACATCTAATTGGACCTCACTGGGCACGACTTCTCAATAGAACTCCAGGAAAATCCATCCTGTAGCCAGTCACTAGCGAGCATCAGATTAATTTTCTATAGTTTGGTTTGTAATGGTTAGTTATGTTTTTATGAGTTGATCACGGATTGCTATCAGTTAGAGAACATCACCTAAACAACAGATGACTTGGGATTATTTCTCAGAAAACTGCGCGACTTAGAATTTACGTGAAGTATTTGACATTCTTCCTGAAACTGGTAAACACAGGATATTCAGCCCCATTTGAAAAGTCCTAAACAAAATTCGATCAAACCTCTGAAAAGGAGTGAGACCAAGGCATCTGGGCATAGCTGAGGCACTAGCGATCCAAAATGTTCAAGCCTTAGCTATGTATTCAAAAGAAATACGTCCAACCTTTCTCCCAACCATGGCTATCATAAATAAAATAAATCCTTCCATTGGAGATAATATCCCACTGAGTTTCTTATACAAACTTCCTGTTTACTTGTTATTTTTACGTTTTTTAATCCCTATTTGTACTATTATGTTTTTGTCCGAACTTTTTGCCTACCTTTTTAAAACTACGTTTCTAATCCCTAATTAAACAAAAAGTCAATTTCCTCAATAATTAGATCTTATTACGTTTTTATCCCATCTTCTTGTTTATTCTGTTATTACATTCTACTTCCTGTTTTTAAATTTATCAGTATGCTCCTCGACCAGAAGTAGTTCTGGGACTTTTCCACTTACTTATTATATATATATATATATATATATATATATATATACAGCCTAGTTGATGACTTAGTCAAAAAGAAAATTCTATTAGCTGCAACTGTCTTTTTAGTTTTTCCTATAATTGAAAAGACAAGGACAGGCGTTCATTACTCTGAAACTAGTCTGGAAATCTGCTGTACTCGGTATAAAGAACAATATTCACTGATTTTCAACAATGATGTCAAGTCAGTGATTCTATATACTTCACAGAGTTGGAGTGGAAATCACCAAAAGCATTCCCGACAGGCTACTGCAGACTTTTGCTGGCTTTATATTCAACATCAAATGACCGGACAAAAATGATAAGCAGCAAGAAAATCTGGCAACCAGCCAACTAAGACCCGGTTACCTAACAAAGATGCCAAAGAAAACGGAGATGGATAGGACACCGATATGTACCCACATGATGTGTGTTTTGTTTTTGACAGTCTATTATATTTTGCTATGTGTATATGGATCGATATTCCATTATAACTGACATTATGCTTTTGTCTGTCCACTAACTAAATAAACAATGTATGACCTTCTTGTCACATGACATTACAACCAATCATGGTAAGACGTTATCTTATTGGTTCATGTGTATTAGCCATTTTCATATATACTCTTGCTTTGTACACTCTTACATATTCTTGTTCCCACGTTTCGTACATACGTACCATTTCACTCACACTCTTGTGTGACATTTATTTTCCTTGTCTGGAAAATACAAGTATCATCGTAAACCTGGTGGTCGTCTGATTTCCCTCTTTCCGCGTCAGAACTATTAACTACTCGACGAGTACATAACAGTAATTGGAGCCGGGGAAAACTCTAATAACTCACTCAGCAGCAGTACATAACAGACACACATTGGGGAGGCCAATGAATGGCATAGCGCATCAAGTCATCATTCGAGTGGAACCCAAGTGGAAAATGACGATTTGTGCGCATGTTTGGAGGAGATCGTATGAAGAGGTGAGAGCCTATGGGAAATCATGAAGCCAGTTAAAAAGGACTACAGGCAGCAGGATGAAATCGAGGTGTGTTGGTTGTTGAAGACCTATATTCTAATCGAAATTTAAGGGAATTACTCTCTAGAGACTAGATAGAGAATAAACTGTACCCCTTACAGAAAAATAATAATAATAGAACAATACTGTAAAATAAATTATTATTAATTACATTTTATAGGCGCGAAGTGTACAAAATAGATGCAATAAACTATTCTTTGTGAACGCTTTTTTCTCCTCAGTCCAACAGATTCAAGCATAACTGGCCTTATTCATGACAAACTGATAACCGCAACTCCAACGCTAAATACGTAGTAGGACGAAGAAGGAGTGGTGATTCAGAACACAAAATGAAAAAAAAACAGACAAATGACGGTGACAAACAAACAGTAACAATAACATGTTTAGGACAACAGAAACAAAGTCAATGCACATACACACACACACACACACAAAACCAATAGGTCAAAATTGAAAACTGGGCAAACTTTCGAATATCGTAGGAGGTGAAAAGATACTTTAAAGCAAAGGGAACTAATTGTACATCAATGCAACAAAAAGCCTAAATTTTTTTAAGAAAAAAAGAAAGATACCAACAGAATGTCACAAAATATCTGTTATATGACTTTTATCAAAGCATAGAAGAAAGAAATAATACAACACACAGTTTGATTTGATCGCCTATTTATGCTACTGATGACGATGACAACTGTGATATACTGATGAGTAGTGGAATTCGTGTATAAAAAAACAAACACGAGAAATATGCTAAAGTGTGTGTGTTTGGTGTGAGAAATTCAACAAAACACACGATTAATAATAATAAAAAGGTGCATGCATAGAAGCAAAATTAATTTGCACAAAGAAAAACAACTTCGATTCCGAGCACATCTATGTGTGTATATGTCACTGGACAGGACGAACACACAGGACCAACAAAACGAAAAAGCGAAGAGCGTTGTGAAGTCCATCATTGATTACAATGCCTCAAATTGTGGGATAAAGAGACAGAGACAGATACAGAGATTTCATCACTGTGATACCCCTTTAGATAAAAGGACGCCAACCTGATCCACCAACTAAACCGGGTAAAATTGCCTGACGACGAATACCCCAAAATCTTCTTGGACGTAGTTGATCATTTAAAGCGGTGAATAACCAACCTATATGTTGATAACAAGCATTACAGTGGGCTATAGTCCAAGAATACCTGGGGAAGGGGAAAGGTTTTTAATAAACAAAAAAACACTGGTGATCAAGTGAAGAGAAACAAATTCAGTAACAAAAATTTTTAACGACAGTAAAACAAGAACATCAGATACTACGAATTGACTAACTGATTACTATAGATTAACAACTTAGAAATTTCGATTGAGTCATATAAAAGAACAGACGTTCGAAGAAGAGTTACTCTTTTCAAAGATACCGTTCTTAGGCTGCAAAATAGCGCATACATAGCAAAATTTTCTAAGTAACAGAAGGAACATTCCCAAAGATGTGTTATTCGAACTGTAAATTTTATATAACAAGCTATTATATTATATTATTGCATCCTTTAGTTCCTAGAGGAACATAGGGCTTCAGCTGCGCGTCTCCATTACCTTCTGTTTTCTGCTACCTTTTTCACCCCGCTCCAAGTCTGTCCACATGCTTTCATCTCCTCTTCACATGACCTCCTCCAAGTCACCCTTGCACTGACAACCAACTCGCCGCCTCCCTTTCGGGTTCCACTCGAGTGGTCGCCTGTCTTGTGATGTCACTTGATGGCTTCCTCAGAATATGGCCAATCCATCTCCATTTCTTCCTGCCTATCTGTTTCACAATCGGTTCCTGGGTGGTTCGCTCATTACCAGAGATCGCTGTTGCTGATCTTTCCTGGCCATCTGATCTTGAGTATTGAACGAAGACAACTGTTAATGAAGGTCTGAAGTTTGTTTGAGATGCTCTGTATGACGCGTAGTGCAAGTCTCTGATCCGTATAGCAAGTAGCACTGACTTCACATTGGAGTTGAAAATCCGGATGTTATTTTTGATGCTGAGTGCTGTTGACCTCCACAGAGACTTAAGGGTAGTGAAAGCCTGTCTTCCTTTTCCGATTCTGGCTTTGATATCTTCGTCAGTTCCATCGGCCTGTAGTTGAAACAATGCTTCCCAGGTAGGTGAAGGAGGTTGTTTCTTTCATGTTCCTCCCAATTATGCTGATTGTTGTCTGTTGTTGTTGCTGTTGGCCGAGAATCTTCATCACCTCTGTTTTATCTATGTTCACTTGAAGTCCTATCTTTGATGCTTCTTCTGTCAGCTTGACAACGAATTACTTAGTACAAAAAGCGTTAATTGAGTAGAAATTAAAATAAAACCAGGTAAGTGAATCAAGTAACGTAATATAATTAACGGGATTGAGTGGAATACAACTAAAACTTAACAAGAGTCAGGTTAACATTATTAGTAATAACGGGTGAAGGAAGAAAATAATACAATCAAAAAACAAAAATTACCTATCCAGTGTTAATACAGATCAGGTCCGTTGTAAATTTAGTAAGTGAACAAATTTCTCCAGTATGTAGTGTTAAGGATTTAAACGTGTGAGTTGCCATCACTACTGTCGTTTGAAGAAGTTTGATCCGTACTCTTAGCGAAATTGGCGCGTTTTATGTGGATGACTCTGAAATCTCTTTAAGGGCTAGGTTGATGTCGAGATTCGATCAGATGTTCCAAGACAGACCTGCGGGGATTCTTTCTTCTCATCCATAAACCGTGAGGGTAATTTTTTCGAAGATATCATTGGACAGCTAACGACAGGTACGACCGATATAACTAGCTCCACATTAGCAGGTGAGTTGGTAGATGCACACTGATGAGGCCAACAGTGGTAGCTTATCCCTGACGTTCATGCGAATCATTGGTTCCGTAAAGAAATTTAGTCGAAGTTCAGCTGCGAAGAAGTTCTCCAGAGGTTTCTCAGTATTTCTGCTGATGGGTCTCCATCGAATTGTAGATTCGAGTAGATAAGTCATTTTGGAGCAGGTGTGGGCCGTTTTAGTGGTTCAAGTTTCAGGGGTTTTGTGACGAAATTTCTTGGGTAGCCATTTTCAAGAATTCTTTCCAGAATTTAGCTCCTCTTTTATAATGTCAGCGCTGCAAATGCTGTGGCTCAATGAACGGATAAGGTTTCGTTTTGTATATACAAGCACTCAATTATGAAAGTTAGTGAGGTATCCTTTCCATTTCGGTTTTCTATAGATGGATGGATGAAACACTTAAGTGCCTCATCTTGTTCATGTCTTGTTAATTGAACATCCAGAAAAAATATTCTTAAGTTCGACTTCCACTCTGATGTGAACTGGATTGCAGGATGGAAGTAGCAGCTTTTAAAAAATCCAGGATGTCTTCTAAATCCCCTTCATTACTGGAGATAACAAAAGTGTAATCCACCTATCTGTTGTAAAATCCCAAAAGTGTTAGTCATTTTCTTCAAATATATGTTTCCGAGTTTTGACATGAAGAAATCTGCGACCTATGGGACCTAGTGGTGAGTCCGTAGCTATACCACTCTTTTTTCGATATATTTAATTATTTGAAGAGAACAGGAGTTCCTTCGAATAATCAGTGGGTATACGAGTGTTTATCCTCTTTGAATTAATATGTTTGCATAGGATACGTAATTTTTGTCGTTTGTGTTTTAACTATATTATTTCCTCCACCTTTTTTTCCCTTCACGTTCCCTAGTGGAACATAGGGCCTCAAGCTAGTGGCTTGAAGTTTCTGTAGCAGTGTTTATTTTACAAGATGGGGTTGCTAGCCTCATGCCCAACCTTTCATCTTTACCAGCATTGTTTTTGGCTTAGCGAGGTAAAGGAGTGCGTCGGCCGGGGATCGAACCCCGGACCATGTGCATGGTCGGCGAGCGTCCTAACCTCCCTTTACCCCCTGTAAAGTTTTTACTCCTTATTATCATTGCTGTTAACCTGACTCTCAGTCATTTTTAGTTCGGGAACGGGCATAAATGGACTCACACAAATGACTTGGAAGATCTGGACTTCGCCGATGATATATGTCTGATTTCCAACAAACTGGAAGATATGCAAGTGAAAAGCAACAAGTTGGCGGAAGAAGCATCAAAGATAGGGCTTCAGGTGAACATAGATAAAACAGAGGTGATGAAGATTCTCGGCCAACACCAACAACTATAGACAACAGTCAGCATAATTGGGAGGAACATGAAACAAACAACCTCCTTCACCTACCTGGGAAGCATTGTTTCAACTACAGGCCGATGGAACTGACGAAGATATCAAAGCCAGAATCGGAAAAGGAAGACAGGCTTTCACTACCCTTAAGTCTCTGTGGAGGTCAACAGCACTCAGCATCAAAAATAACATCCGGATTTTCAACTCCAATGTGAAGTCAGTGCTACTTGCTATACGGATCAGAGACTTGCACTACGCGTCATACAGAGCATCTCAAACAAACTTCAGACCTTCATTAACAGTTGTCTTCGTTCAATACTCAAGATCAGATGGCCAGGAAAGATCAGCAACAGCGATCTCTGGTAATGAGCGAACCACCCAGGAACCGATTGTGAAACAGATAGGCAGGAAGAAATGGAGATGGATTGGCCATATTCTGAGGAAGCCATCAAGTGACATCACAAGACAGGCGACCACTCGAGTGGAACCCGAAAGGGAGGCGGCGAGTTGGTTGTCAGTGCAAGGGTGACTTGGAGGAGGTCATGTGAAGAGGAGATGAAAGCATGTGGACAGACTTGGAGCGGGGTGAAAAAGGTAGCAGAAAACAGAAGGTAATGGAGACGCGCAGCTGAAGCCCTATGTTCCTCTAGGAACTAAAGGATGCAATAATATAATATAATAATTCGTTATATAAAATTTACAGTTCGAATGACCCGCGATCTTCAGGTAACAAGACCAAGTTCGTTGACCATTTAACCTCTACGGATGGAAGTCAATGACGCTTGACCAATGCCTTCGATAAGCATCCACTTCATATTGACATGGTGGACCCTACTGGTAAGGACTTTTCACTGAAGCAGTAGAACGTATATCCAGCAGCCGATAATGAGGTCAGTTCGTGACTATATCTAAATAACTCCCAAATTCTGAAGATAATTATTTGTATGATGGGAAGACTTAACAAGCCTACACTTTGCTTAGACAACAATAAATTGAAATTATTAATAAACTTATGAAACAAGAAATAAGAACAAATTTGCCTAACAATCAGCTACACTACTGCTACAAAAAGGAATGATGAAATTTCTAACATGGTGAATATTCATCCGACTAATTTTCTGTTCAGATAAACTGTTCGTATCTGGACAGCAATAATATCAAATATGGGGAGAGGCACCACCTCATCTGGTGGTGACCATCTAAATCATCTGGCTGATAAATTATCCAAGGGGAGGAGTAATGGGAGATTGCAACTCATTGTAAAAGAGCTACGTGGACTCAGAACATGCATTAGTCGGTGAATGTGTACGCCTCTAACCGAACGAAAGTAGAGAACAAGAATCTACGAAGACATTATGTGTTTCTTTAGCCCTTTTGATGAGAGCTTGAAGCTAGTATTTAGAGAGGAGACAAATCAACGCATATCTGAGCGTGACAACAATACTCTTCCATTAGAAACCTAGTAGCATAACCAGTCGCCTGTCGAGAAAGTAGTGAGGACGGTTGATAACCTGAATTTCGCAGTTTCACAAGAACTAAACGTTGCAAACAGATCGATCCAAGCAAGCTCCACACATGATAAGCAGCTAGAGATGCTCAAATATAAGCTGACTTAAAAGTATTTGTAAACACTGCCAGCAGTGGTGGGAAACGACATAAATGGTAAAGGTGTCAGCCCGTCATCTATTCAGACTCACTTGTGAAACACACTCTAAGAAACCTTTGATAGGCAAAATCAGCTTTGAGGAGGATTGAACTTCAATAACACTTGCTGAAACGTTGGGCAGAACGCATTGAAGACGAGTACAGCTCACTCACAGTCGTAATAGAGCTGCCAATCATCTAAATTCTGCCTGAATAGAATGTAGACATAAGTTCTTCAACTACAGCCAAGGCTTTAAATGTCATCCCTATTTTGCAAAGAAAAAGCAGCAGGACCTGATGGAAGTACTCCAGGAGCGACAAAAGATGGTGTCGTTGAATTTTTGTGTAGCTCAGCTAAGGCATTGACTAGAGTATGGGTGTCCGAATTAGATATACATATCTGATGTGTATCGTCCGGGGTACGAATGTGAGAAACGATCGTTGGAACTGGAAGATCTCATGAGGTTATTTACCTTTGATAATAGGTGTATTCGCGACCCACCCTCCAAGTTGAGTGACATGGTATGGTGGTAGCACTAAGCATAAGCGTGAAGTGGTAGGTAAAAGAAGAAAGTTAATCGATGAGGTTACGAAGTTGAGTTGATTGTGATGGCTATCTTCGTCAGATAGCAATTTTAGCTGAAATATGACAAGAGCAGAAAAGACAAGGGTTGTGACACGGAACGAATCTATGAATTCGTTAAATAATGGTTTGAGCTACACATAGTGGTGTAGGTTGTCTGGTTCAAGTTCTCGAAATACTACGAATCAATGATTAGGTTATTTTTGGTGATAAGGGTCAATATCGTTCTCAAAGACATCAATGAATTCACTCTTTATTGTACCTCAGATTCTGAAAGTCCTCAGTAGTCTTCTTCCAATTATTCTTTCACTTGTCCACCTTAGTCCATTGTAGTATCGTAGTATTTCTTCCTTCTACTTTTGTGTGCTTCCCGAAAATGTGGTGCCTTAAAGTTTTGTACTCTTTAAAAAGTTCTATTTGTCGGTCAGTCAATGATAAAATTCTTTCGAGAAAGTAGAGAGAGACGACTATACACTGCGGAATAAGACAGATGTATGTATGTGAACTTACCCAGGAAACCAAGAATATTCTGACGATGCTTCACCGACAAGATTAAGAGAGTTGGTCGTGACATGACTGACAGTCACAGTATCATGTAGAACACCGGATGGATTCACGTATGTTTGTGAACTTCCTTCTTGAGCAATACAAACAATGTGTGGATTTGAAGTAATGTTTGCATCACACGATGCACATACATATGCAGTTGACTGAAGTATACAGAAATAAGGAGGCAACATTAGTAACAAACCATACGAAGAAGAGAATAGCAATGCTGAAAAAAGCGGCTTTACAGTGTCAACAAATTCAAGGGATTTTTGAAAAAAGAAATAAATATATCAGTTGTAGTTCTGTTTTTCGGCAAGATTTAATCTTCACGTTTGATGTATTTGTTTTTGTCATGCACTCGCTTTATTGTAGTACAGATTAACAAAAGGTTCAATGTTGATATGTTTTTTTTCTTACAAGAACTTCATGAGGTACTCCCAATACGACAGAATGGTTCAATTTGTTTTGAGTAACTTTATATACCTAAGCTCTACAACCCGACCGAAAGCTGCTACCTTGACGTGGTGGTCGGGCTTGAACACCGCAATGACCTAATCAAGCTATACTGGCTGAGACTTATGTCTCTTGAGGTTCTACCATGCCAGGCAGGTTGTTTGGATAGCGGTTAAACAAAAAGCAGCTACCTCATCCAATACCATGATCCAAACAAATTCACAAAATTTCATGCCGGATCGGCCGTGGCCCGGATTAACAACGACCGCGCTTCCTGCTGCCGTGTCACAGGGCGGGAGTGATAAGTATGCTACTGAGGCACACAAAACAACAAAGAACGAACAAAAACAGGCCGCGTGTGACCGGCCACAAGCAGTTGTCCCCTGGGCTCTGCGGTCACGCAACCAACTTCCACGGTGTGGGCAGCCGGGAAGTAACAATCGCCCTCACAATCCAAAACGCACACAAAACCTCTCTAATCCTCACTTATCTTTGTCTTCATCTTCATCTCTATTACCTTACCTTCCCCCAGTGATGCAACTCCTCTACTTGATGGCTCCTCACTCCCTCTTCACTCTGTGTCCACTAAAAACGACGAAAGCCAAAAAACCACCACGGATAGTCTCCTAAAGCCACGCCACCAATTTCATATAGGAGCATTTAATGTTAGGACACTTTGCCAAATAGGACAACAAGCATCACTAGCTAAGACCCTGGCATCTCGAGCCATTGATGTATGTTGTGTTTCAGAAACACGCATACAAGACCCAAGTGTGGTTATTCACCTAACCCCACCTGGCCAACAGGATGAATCTTCAAAATTCACCTTGAGGGTGTCAGGAGATGCCACAGCTAGTTCACGGGATTAGCTGGCGTAGGGATAGCTCTGAGTACTAGGGCAGAAAAGACATTGCTTGACTGGATCCCGGTAGATAGCCGAATGTGTGCTGTCCGTCTGAACGGATCAGTAAGAAGGAGAAAGGACTGCACTACTCGCCGATGCCTTTTCGTAATCTCCGCCTACGCCCCCACTGACTGCAGTTCGGATGAAACGAAGGATGAGTTCTACCAAAAGCTGTCTAGTTTGGTGAGAAAGGCTAAACGCTCAGATATAGTCGTTCTAGCTGGTGACTTCAACGCTCAAGTAGGGAAATTGTGTCAATCTGAGAAGGATGTCGGTGGCACCTATGGAGTTCCGTGCCAGCGAACCGACAACGGTGACCGTCTCCTACAGTTCTGTTCAGATAATCATTTGTTTCTTGTAAGCACTAACTTTAAACACAAGGAGAGACACTGTTTAACCTGGCGACCCCCATCATCAAACCAACGCTGGACACAAATAGACCACATAGCAATAAGCTATCGTTGGCGTGGGTCGGTAGGAGATTGTCGCTCCTTCTGGAACACGTGTGTAGATACCGATCACGCACTGGTCCGGGCTCGTGTGTGCTTACGACTGAACGGACGTAGGAAACAGCTGGCGGTAAAACCATTACGCCCCCAGCTCGATCAGGAAACTAAATCCCTATTTGAGGAAGAACTAGCTAAACGCATATCTGAATCGACAGCTGTGCTCACCCTGGAGAAGCCTGGAAGAATATTCAGTCAGCTATAGATACAGCTGTAAAAGCTGTGAATAAGACAAATCCAAAGGTGAGTAAAAACCACTGGATTTCGACTGCCTCATCCGAACTGATAGATGCTAGAAGACTTATTCCGGCGAGCTCCGAATTCAATGAGGAGCGAAAGCTGCACAAAAGGAAACTTACTAAAAGTCTCCGCAAGGACCGTGAACAGTGGTGGGTGACAAAGGCGAAAGAGATGGAAAAAGCATTGGCGATAGGCAACACTAGGCAACTCTTTAGACTCATCACAGAATCGGGCGGGAGAAGGCAATTCATAAGTGAGACTATTTCTGAGAAAAATGGCTCCTTAATTAGCTCTCAGGATAGACGCCTTGAACGCTGGAAAGAACACTTTGAGGAACAATTTAACTTGCCTACAGCCACACTGAACCTCCCCGCCATCCACCACGTACCCGAATGGGATATAGACACTGGTCCGCCGTCTGTAGGTGAGGTTACAAAAGCTATCAGTAATTTGAAACGAGGCAAAGCGGCAGGACCCGACGGAATTATTCCGGAGGTGTTTAAATATGGGGGTGACATACTAGTTTGTAGATTAACTGAGGTACTAGGCAAAGTCTGGGAATCAGAGACAGTACCATCAGACTGGGGTAAGTCACTTATTATACCGATATTCAAGAAGGGAAACAAGTCCTCGTGTGATAATCATAGGGGGATCAGCCTAACGAACATAGTCTCTAAAATCCTAGGCTCAGTAATCATGCATAGACTAAGCAGAACTCGGGAGGAACAGACAAGGGAAAATCAAGCAGGCTTTAGACCAGGTAGAGGGTGCATAGATCATATCTTCACTCTTCGACAGATTCTAGAACATAGACACACTTTTCGGCGTCCAACAATTGTCATATTTCTTGACTTGAAGGCGGCCTTCGACTCCGTGGATCGAAAGGTACTATGGCAATGTCTGACTGTGAAGGGAGTGCCAAGAAAGTACATTGCACTAATCAAGGCACTCTATTCAAACTCACGTAGTCGTGTAAGGGCTTATGGGGAATTGTCATCTGAATTGGTAACAACCAGTGGTGTCCGACAGGGATGTCCACTTTCCCCATTTCTGTTTAACTTCATCATAGATATGCTAATGGAAGTATCCTTAACTGAACGTAGTGACTTAGGAATCGACTTGTTACCAGGGAATAATCTTATGGACTTAGAATATGCAGATGACATAGTCCTGTTAGGGGAGGATGCTGACAAAATGCAGAGTCTTCTGAACACCTTGAGCAGCAATCTTCGTATGTTTGGCATGCGATTCGCCCCTGCAAAATGTAAGATGCTGCTACAGGACTGGACCACGTCAACCCCTAACTTAGTGATAGGGAGTGAAGTGATAGAACATGTTGACCACTTCACCTACTTGGGAAGTTGTATTAGCACCAACGGACTGATTGGCGATGAAATCTCAGCACGGATCCGAAAAGCTCGAGCTGCTTTCGCTGACTTACACCATCTCTGGCGTAGGCGTGACATCCGGTTATCAACCAAGGGACGTGTGTACTGCTCATCAGTTCGCTCCGTCCTTCTCTATGGCTCTGAAACATGGCCAATACGCGTTGAAGACATGAAAAGGTTGACTGCTTTCGATCATAGATGTCTGCGATCTCTGTCTCACGTTAGGTGGTTTCACAAGATAAGTAATGTTGACGTTAGGCGTAGAGTGTTGGGCAAAGAGGGAAAATCAATCGACGAGGTTATAAAGTTACATAGACTAAGATGGCTAGGTCACGTGGTGCGCATGCCTAACCACCGCCTCCCCCGACGGGCATTGTTAGCTGATATAGGTTCAGGTTGGAAAAGAGCCAGTGGTGGCCAAACAAAAACATGGCATCAATCCATGAAATCCTTGACAGTTAAACTGAGTCAGGTAGGGAGATGCAGACTCCCGGGTTGGGGCCCTCGGGACTCTAGGAATCAATGGCTGGAGACAATAGGTGACATGGCTCAAAATCGTTGTCAATGGCGCAGATGTATTCAATCTCTGTAATCTTTCATATTCCTTTCTACCATTACCCATTCTGTTTCACTCTTATATTTGTCAAACTCTATTGATTCTCTTCACTCATCTTCTTGTCTACCTCTGTGTGCTATTTGGAACGTGGCAACTCGAACTGCTGCACTTCGGTGCCAAGTTCTATGTTGAATCCAGACAGACAGACAGCTCTACAGCTACATATTTATCTGTACAAACCAAGAGGAGAATTACTGGAAATAATTTTTCGTTTAAATACTTCTTTTAAATAGCTTAAATCAATTTTTAAGTTATCAATTATCATTTTCCCATTCCTTTTGTGTTCCGAGTGGAATATAAGGCTTTAAGCATAGGCTTCGAAGTTTCAATATCACATGTTGCTGGAGGGGTTATTAGCTTTATACCCAACCTACCCTCCTCACTGAGCTTTTTACCGGCTAAGCGAGGATTAGAAATGCGTCGACCGGGAATCTAACTAGGGGCACGTGCATGTGACGCTCGATTTCCGACCAGCTGGCCATGAATTCGATTCCCGCTCCACCTACCAAGGTTTAGGCAGCCAGGTAGTATCACTAACAGTTACACACAATAGTTGTGGCTCACTGACAGCTACACAGAATTTCAAGTGGTTAGTTGTCCGGTAACACAAGTCATCATTGCTACTGTTGGTATAAAGTGTTCACATCTGTTAGATTTTAAAAGATTTATTTAGAACAAAAATAATTAAAGTGAACAAACGTCTTCGGTAAATTCTTTTTCAAGCTCCTTACTTTTAAGTCCATTAATTTTAGCATACAGTAATGATCAGTAAAGACAAATTAGAAAGCGCATTTTTCTACAATCGCAAGATGAAATGATCAACTTATATGAGTAATAAAATGGTGCTCAGTTTCTCAACTAAACCAGAAATTACTCAGAGCAGCAAAGATAAATTACTAACGGTGGCCTCATCAATATGAATCTAAGAGTTTAACTGCTCCTGTGGATCTAGTTACACAGACTGTGCCCAAAAGGGCTTTATTCATGCACACATGTGAACATGTACTTGTATGGTTGAATAAAGGGGAAACAAAATGCGTTATTATTGAGATACTAATTACTTGGTAGATACTGGACATTCAATAAACCCCGAGCGGGAGTTCTCGGTGATCTACTGTGTCCCAGATAATTTATTTAGAGGAGATAGGTTATGTCTCCTTCACTCAATAACTGAAGCAGTAGCAATCAGTACCACAAGACCTGGGTCTATGTATTCATTAGAAGTATGTCCAGTGATTTTGTTTACCTAGGCCTGCAATAAGGTCAGCAAATCCTTCAGAAACACCGGCAATTAACATTTTAAATCCTTATCCTTTTTCTTCCTTGTTTTACTGACAAATATTTACGCTAATGACTTCATGACCTTTTCTAATCAATGTTCACTGCTCTAGGTTTACGTAACGCTTTTCAAACTTGTTATTGTATTCAAAAATATGTAATATTACAAGTGAAGTAGCTTTTACAAACAGTTACGCATTTATATCGTCAATTTTTTGAGTAAATTTCATTTACATATATGAAAGAAATACTTGATTACACAACCTGCTGTACCCTTGCATAATATGTATGTGCATTAATTGTTTTAAGCCAATTTTGTTCCTCCCATTGATTGGTTGGAATGAAATAATTGGCTTCTGTTGACGTATCAGCTCTTCGACGATATCTAAGGACTGAAATGATGTAATTTAGTGGATGGTAACTCGTAGCTCAAGTGATCTAGTGGATAACGCTTTGACATTTGAAATGATGGATGATCGGACCAACTCTCAGTTGGGCCTGATGAGCCTTAAATAAAACAAAAATCATGCATCCTGGATTCCACTAATAGTCATCAACCAGCAAATAACATGATGTTTTCAATAACTTTACAGCTGTGTTGAGCGTCATGTAATAAGATGTAGGACAATCAATATCGTCTCAGTTCAACAATATTCACTCTTCATATATCAATGGCGAAAAAGATTGACCAAATTTTCAGTATTTGATAGGCTATAACTCACTATGGTGGATAAATATACACACACACGTTGTTTACATCCAATGCTTCACAATCATGGCTCAATGGTCTACGAGCTCGCCTTGTAACCAGGAGGTCCTGGGTTCGAACTCCGGTGGGTGCGTACTGATGAAGAGTCCCAAACTAGGACGAAACAGTTGTCCAGTACTCCCAGGTTTTCCAGTGGTTCTCTAACTGATGTCAGCTCATAGTGAAATCCTCCATGCAATATCAGAAATGTTACATGTACGAAGTCACAGTTCATCAAATATATATATATATATATATACAGTTAGATGCAGAATAAACGAGTTGTGATAACAAACAACTGCAAAACGTTTTAAGAAAGCTCCAGTGTCATGGATTCCTAAATATCTACAAGCTATATTAGTTATCAAGACCGATCACGAAGTGACCTCAGTTAGAGAGCCAGTGGAAACCTGAGAGTACTGGATAATAGTTTCGTCCTAGCTTACAACTCTTCACAGTACCTGCCAGTGACCCTACGAGGGATAGAAACCAGGACCTTCAGGTTACAAGATGAGCTCGTTGATCATTTATCCATTAGGACGGGATTTAATTACCAGTGTATGAATTCTAGCTTCTGACAATTCACGATATGCAGAGAGCCTACGAGCCAATATTATCAGCGAGTATTTACTCTGACACCCAATTTGGTTGACCCAGCTGGTCACAACTTCCAACTTGAATTTTGTTATCACTGTGAATTGCCATTGCTTCTAAATGATAGCAAGTCGTGTGGTAATTGTTTTAGTCATCGGCTTTTTCGAAAATGATCACGAAATATTCTTATCCCAGATTGGAAAAATCTAGGAATGTAATTCAAGTTGATCAATAATCTTTACTTCATATTTTTCTCACGGGTGTAATTTTACTGCACTTGCCAACAGCTGCTTCGAATTAAATACTAACCATTAATCATCTGAAATCATACATATTGCGCATTCCTCTTATGGAATACCGAATTCCGGCCCCATTGGGCGCATAGTGTTGAAGGGTCCCGAATTGGGACGAAACAGTTATCTCGTACTCTCTGCATTCCCTACAGTTTTCAGCTTGTGACCAAACCTGTAACAAACAGAAATTTTATTTATTTTATTTTTGATTACAGCTTGATTCCACACTGTATTTTTGGTACAAGTATGTAATTTTCAGCATGGATATCGGTAGCCCGCATTTTGCAGGCCGACCATAGATATCAGATGTGCGTCGGCAGGGGATCGAACCTCGGACCATGTAGATGGTCGGCGAGATTCCTAACCACTGTGTCACCGACGCACATGATGCGATGGTAATGGTTCCCGATGCTCAATTTAACTAATGAATTACAACGAAAATAATTAATCATAGTTTTAAATTAGAAATATTGAAGAAATTAGAAAGAACTGGGTACTAATATAAATTAAATATATACATGCACTAAAGAATAAGTCTTACACGACGTATAACTTCTAGTAAAGCACGTAAACGTTGCACCACATGATCAATACCCAATATATGACATTTTAATGGACCGGATATTGGAAGATTCTGTATTAACCAGTAAGAGAAAGGTACAGCTAATTCAGGACTCCATTTATCAACTTTCCATGTATCATTCCAATTATACAATTCTGACTGAATAGCTGAGACTAAATAATTCTAAGAATATAAGATAGATTGAAAGTTTAGGTATACATATTGGACTGATAAAAATATTAGTGTAAATTACAGTTATCAGTGGCGTTCTCAGTGGCGCAGATGCATCCACTCCTTGTGACTTATGATCTCCAATGAAACTGTTTTGCTCTTCGTTATTAATCCTTTGTCTCACACCTCTGCTCACTGTCTCTATTATGCTTTTCTTGTACTTTCTTCTCTTGCTTCGCGTGCTACACGGAGTGTGGCGACTTGAACTGCCGCACATTTGTGCAAAGTTCTATTTCGAAAACAGACAGACAGACAGTTATCAAACGAAAAAGCAACTTTAGAATACTTTATGGATGTACAGAAAGATACACATGCAGAGTAACTTCTATCACGACGACGTGTTTATAAACTTGGGCTACAAAAAAACCTTCATCAACTGTACTGCATATAATTTCTCCTGTTCATTTTGTTTTAATAGACTACAATATGATGTCCAATGGTATCATTTAATCTTGAGAGTATTTAAAATGTTTACAAAGTGGTGATTCTCCAGTTTCTAATGAACTTGAGAAAAAGTATAATCCTACAACGCTCCCAATAATACCAACAGCGGAAGCAGAACTACTAGTGGACAACAACCCTCCGACGAAAACAGAAATCCCGAAGACAATCAAGATGCTAAAAACTGGAAAAGCAGCAGGATCAGACGGAATCCCAGCAGAGGCATTGAAAATGGACCCCGAGACATCAGCGGACTTGATAACACCACTACTGGAGAAGGTATGAAAAGAGGGCAAGGTAACTGCGGACTGGAAGAAAAGCAACCTATTTAAACTGCCAAAGAAAGGGGACTTAGGTCAATGCAAGAACTGGCACGGAATTATGCTCCTGTCTATCTCAAGCAAAATACCAAGCTGCGTCATTCCGGAGACAATCAAACATGCCCCGGATGAACAACTTCGACTGGAACAGGCTGGATTCAGGAGGAACAAGTCATGCATCGATCGAATCGCAACACTATGTGTCATCATTGAACAGGGCTTGAAACGGCAGTCAGCTCTCTGTCTCAACTTCATTGACAACGTCGATCGAGAGGTGTAAGTAAATCTTAAATTATGTAGAAACAATCTATAAGGAAAAAGAAAGGACTGTCGATGACCAAAGTATGCGGTGAAAATGATAAATGCCTTTATGGCACAAATGGACTTTAGTTCATCAAGTGCCATTAACTTAACTTTCCAATACTGTTAGCTGGATTGATGAAAGTTATATTGCCACAGAATGCTGATGATAACCACCTTTTGAGATGATCGCTTTTTTCCATTCCTTGGGTTCTGAGTGGAATATAAGGCTCCAAGCTTTGAAGTTTTATTAGCAGTGTTGACGCTTTCATAGGATGGAGTTGCTGGACTCACGCCCAACCTTTTCTCTTCTCCAGGCTGACTGTCGGCTCAAGGAAGTTCAGGGGTCAGTCGGTTGGGAATAGAACCAGTAGATCCCGCGTGGCTACCAACCATTCTACTATTGAGCTGCGACCTGTTAATATCTATTAAGACAACTAGCGATCATCGACTAAGTACGAATCCAAGAGTATGAATATTCAAACATCATTCATCATTAGTGGTTAATAACTGGAGAGATAGTACATTTCCACCACCTTAATGACAACGATAACCAATGAACAGAAAGAAATTCTCATGAGTCATTTAGCGACGGTTAGCCGCCTAGGCTAGTTAGGATAAATCGGAGCACATAGCTGAATTGATTATTTTTACATCAATTAAAAGGATAGTATTTTTGCGCTCTCATGAACATGTTTACATAAAACTGAAAATCACATTTGAACATTTAAGCGACAGAAAAGAGGTAGTTCAACCTGCTAACTGCTTATTCAACAAACTATATATAAATGAAGTTAAAGCTTATTCATCAAACACGTCTGTTTGATATAATAGTGAGTCTCTCTAGTGAGTGAAAATGTATTAGTACTAATAACTGGAAATATACATTGCTTCACTCGATATCATCTAAAAAAAGCTCAATTGCCGTGAAATTTGTACCACATCTACATAGTCTGATCAAATAACGCTCTTTAAAAAAAACATAACACTATATTACACCTCGTTTTAAACTATGACATAAGCTATTTCGCACTGAATAAAACCTAAATATGAGTTGCCATTACTCTTGGTGTAGCCTACGACACACAAAACGTTAAAATGAGAAAGTTTTAGAGTCCCTCTAATCGATAGCTGCTATCTTGACGTAGTTTGATGTCGGGCTTGCATATCGCAATGACCTATTGAGCTACACTGCCTGGAACTAATGAACCTGCAGGTCGTAGCATGCCACAAACGTTGTTTGGATAGCAATCAGACCAAGAGCATTTAATATTTATTCTTAACTCAATTTTGATTTTCCTGTTAATTGATTGGATTGAAATGTTCGGCTTCTGTTGACATGTCAGCCTCTTCTACGGATGCTTCCTCAATGTCTGAAGTAATTTGGTGGATGGTGACTAGCAGTGGAGTCTAGGATGCAGATTTCGTCCTATTCCAGTGCGCTTTAGCGTTTGAAACGATGGGTTCGATCCTCAGTGGTAACACTGCAACTCACTGGAGAGTGAAGTTGTATCTAGATGACGAGTCCCAAATAGGACAAAATACGCAACTTGGATTCCCCCTCTAGTCACCATCCACCAAATTACTAAGAGTATTCATGTTATAGTGTAAGCTGTTTACATTATGTTGGGGATCTGTGGGAGACGTCGTACTTCTAGGGAGAGGGGATGCAACAAAAGTAAGGTGTTTCCCTCAGAAGAGTAGTATGTCAGCTATACTAGTTATTCGCTCCGGAGAGGGGGGTTATAAAAAGTCAACCCCGAAGATTGCATATCCCGAATTACCTTGAGGCCGGTGATAAGATCTAAGTATGGACACATGTCCAAAATCTAATTCAAACAAGTCGTGTGCGACAAGCCCCAAACAGTTGTCCCTTAGGCTCTGCCGCCACGCAGCACTAATGCTCTTTCTGTTTCAGGTACCTCAACTTCCACGGCGTGGGCAGCCTGGCAGAAGCGACCACCTACACACTTCAAAAATCATACAAAACTGTATTTTAGAGTCCCAGCAAAGAATAACACAGACGTCTTTAGTTGTTGAATGTACTACAACCTTCAAAGTGTACTACTGCCTTCAAACAAATGGCCTTAACCACTTAGAGAGATTTCACTAGTAACATTATTAAACAAAAGTAAAAATTACAGTTATTACATACAATCATTACGTGTAGTCTTCATGCCAAGCAACAAACATTAGATATATAAACACTGACTTACAAAGCAAAAATCCTTACATAATCAGAAACCTACCAAATCATACTGTCGATAAACCCAAAACGGAAGGGGAACATAAGTTTGTGCAACGGCTGCCAAGACATCACGACGTGCTAAGAGACGCGGATCACATTGCTGCTTAATACGATAGCGAAAAGGTCGACCAACTCTGTCTACAGCACGATCCACAATCAATTCAACATCTTCTGAAAGCGAAGACGACCTAACAAGTTTTGTCGCTGGTTTCATAGATTGTGCTGCGTCATTATGTGATGATGCACAACTTACATCAGTATCATTTCTATTGTCAATTTTATCAAGATCACATTTTACTTTCTTTGAATTACTTTCCTGTTCCAAACTTTCATCAACAAAATGATCAAATCGTGCACCTGTAGAACAGCATGAAGAAGATACATCACTGGAATTAATAGGTCCTGTACTTCTCCATGTACTTAGACGAGAATCAAAGATAGAGAAAGGATTTCCAGCTGGCAGATTACATGAATTTATTGTGATAGGATTTGATTCAGGACAGCTTGAATTACTTTTATGAAGAGAACGATCATCAGAAGCCCTGTAAGAGCAATAAAAGTAAGAAATGTATTTCGAAAAGAAACAACAACTGTGATCCTCTCCAATTTATCAACAATAACAACAACCATCTTCAGCAAAAAATAACAGACAAATGTGAAATTACAACTATACCAAATAACATACTTTGTAGACTGAACTGAATCCGTAGAAATGCATGTACTTGGACGTGTCGGTTGTGGATCACGAGCAAAACGAGACCAAGATCTAGGAACTAAACCCCAACCCAAAGGATGAGTAGCCATTTCACGGTTAAATGATGATTCCGGTAATATTTCGCCATGACAAACCAGAGGACTGAAATTGAAAGAAGAATTAAACTACGAGCATGAGACAAGAATATAATGAAATGGATTAACAGCCAGCCACAGAAAAAAATTAATGCATCAAGCCAATGTAAATAGAGAACTTGGGCACCGTAGTGGAATATAACTCCATATCAGATAAGTTTATTTGATATCACGCACAGTCATATCGTACTAATTAATAACTGGATGACATTTCGAACATAAAAATATAATGCTCATAATCAATCAAATAAACTTATTTGGTACAGAACATCAAGTTAAATCACTTAGGTGTTAAATGTCAATCCTCAGACATCGTCGAAGCATTTGTACAAGGAAACAAACATATCAACAGAAGCCAAACATTTCGGTTCAAAAGAAGAAACAAAATTAACTTAAACGAAATAGTGCTTTATTATACGTAGGGAGATGCAAACTTCCGGGTTGGGGCCCTCGGGACTCTAGGAATCAATGGCTGGAGACAATAGGTGACATGGCTCAAAATCTTTGTCAATGGCGCAGATGTATTCAGTTTCTGTAATCTTTCATATTTCTCTCTACCAATACCTATTCTGTTTCACTCTTATACTTGTCAGACTGTATTGATTCTCTTCACTCATCTTCTTGTCTACATTTGTGCGCTATTTGGAACGTGGCAACTCGAACTGCTGCAATTCGGTGCCAAGTTCTATGTTGAATCCAAACAGACAGATACGTTTTATAACCATCTTGAAATGTATTCTCCATGATTTTTTGTGTTACTAAGCAAAGTTTTCTGGTTATAACACACAAAAATCAAGTATATTTTTCTTTAAAGTAATGACAAATAAAAGCCAGAAAGCTGTTTTCCCATGAAGATGGAAATTCAGAAATTCTCAACGACAGTGAATAATATTTTCTCTAATTAAAGATACAGTTACAGAAAATTTATTTTCAACAGTTAGTTCGTAGGGATTGGATTTGTTTCAAGTCTGATCACGGACTGATACCAGTGAAAAAAGGGTTGAAAACCAATAGGTAGGTACTGGACAGTTTTCTTCGTCCTAACTTGCGACTCTTCAACAGGACGAATCCACGACTCCATGAGAGGGGAGGTTGAACCCAGGACTTTCAGCTCAAGCTTGCTGATCATTTAGCAACTTGGGTTGGAATTCAATAACCTATGAAAATTAATTCCTGTGAATTCACTATTTTAGCGTAACCGCCAGCTAGTGACATCTTTCTTACATCCGACCTACTGGACCCCACTAATCATGAATTCTCGCTAGAACTCCAGGCGACTTCGTCCTGTAGTCAGTCACTAGTGAGTATCAGATTAATTTAAAAGACGTAGTTTGTAGGGATTTGATTTATTTCAACTTTATTGTTCAATCTGTCTGTCCGTTTTCGATGTGCGGCAGTTCAAGTCGCCACACTCCATTGTTCAATGTAAAGTCTTTGACGGTTTAAGCAAAATAACGAACCATGGAAACACGAAAACCAAGCGAGTAACTGTTTAAATATATCATCTTCAAATACTAGGGAAAAAACCTGAAAACTAACCGAAGTGTGCTTACCACTTCCCTAAGGAATCGAATCTACTATTCAGGTTTCGTCTACAACTTTTCCTTCATGAAACCGAGCATAACAAAAAGCAACAGTCCACTACTCTTTCAGCACTTATGTTTAATTACCCTTATATGCTTTCTTCAATCCGTATTGTTTAACAGAAAGAAGGAAAACTATATTTGCTACAATACATATAACATGATTACGAATTGGAGCAGCTAATCAAGTAAGGTCAGCTAAGTCAATAAAAACGACTGAACAACCTTTTTCTCTAGGAATACAATGAGTTGCCAAAACGAATGGTAAATAAGCTTGTGAAAGAGAAATTAATTTGAATATGATTTACTATGATGAGTCACGTGTTGCCTTTGTGATGCGGATACGCTGTCTGCCAATAAACATAGCACAAATAGGAGCATCTTCGCCGGAATCTGGAATACATATTGCCACTAAGTCGGCTGTAGTACCAATACAACCGACGAAATCCGCTAGACTTGTATAATCTGAACTAAAATTTTTTTAAAAAAGAAAGAAAAACGAGAGCATGAAAATATAAACACTTAATTGCCTGAAATATTTCAAACTTTGCAACGAAACATATTGAACAAACAGATGACAAAAGCATGGGACGAGGATACTACTAATTACTAATGCTGATAGCATACAATACCCTGACGCTTGGATTGATTTTCAATTGACTATAACAATGGTACATAAACACAGGGGTTATGCTACACCACCATCCGCATATTGCTCTTGTACATCATCATTCCCACTCTACCGTTTATTTTCGTTATATGGAGACTGGTATGAGTAATTCCACTCGTATTGAATACTCCCAATGTGTTGATGTGACATAAGACTTAAACCTATGCATCAGTTTGCTCCTCTTTTATGACTGATACACGACTATTGAAAGTGAAAGATATGACGAAACTGGATGTCTTTAACCATAAATGTTTGCGCCATTTCTTTCATTATAAGTGGTGAAATATGGTGAGCAGTATCCAGATTAGGCAAAGAATGCTATGTAAGGAAGGAAAGTCAATAGCTGCGGCTGTGAAGCGACATCGATTGAGAGGGTTAGGATACGTGTTGCGCGGAATCATTGCCTTATCCAACGAGCAATTTTAGCTGGAATTGGAATAAGGTTGGAAAAGAGTTAGTGGTGGTCAAATAAGAGCAAGGAATCAGTCGTTTAAATCTTTGAATATTGGTTCGAGCCAGCCACATAGGCAGGCGTAAACTGCCTAGTTGGGGTCCCAGGGACGCCAAGCACAAATGGCTGGAAAGTATTGGTGATATAGCTCAAAATCTTTCTCAATGGCACAGATGTATTCAGCCTCTATATTCTCCCATATTCATTACAGCCTAACGTTTCTCCATTTTAAGATTCTCTCCCCCTCGCATTTCCGTTTACTGTAGATGTTCCGAACCTCTTTTCCTTTCTTTTCCCTACATTTGTCCTACATGGGGTGTGGTAACTAGAACTCCTGCGTTTTATCGCAGATTCCCCGTTAAGGCTCAATCACATAGGTCCAAACATTCTCAAAACTACCTTAGTTATGTTCAAACGAACATAATGATTTCTAAGACACCAATATTAATGTTAAGAAATACAAATAATCTGAAGACAACTGCAATTTAAGTTCAAAATATGGTATATCCTTGAAAAATCTCTAGATTCAAGTAAGTCAAGTCATCTGCAAGTTTACAACTACTGCATTGTGTAAAGATGAATACAAGAAGGGTGATAATAATTTTGGTGTTTATTTAATTTTCCACTTTAAGTAATGCACGGCATCTAATTCATATAATTTACAAGAGCGCATGGTATTTTCCGAGGACCACAATACTTTAGGTGGGTAAAGAGAACTTAGGATGATATACAAATAAACTATGAGGATTTGAAAATTCCCCAGAGCAAAACCTTAGAAGGCTTAAACCTTAAAGGGAGAGAATTTTATTTGTAAACTAAATCTTAGAAAATCGACAGTGAACTCTTAACTCCTATGTTGCGAAGTTAGATCAACGAATTTAGTCTAAATTAGTACCAACAATGATTAACAAGTGAAGGAGACCAATTTTCTTAACCATAAAGTTCCTGAATAATCCATTCAAAAATTATTGCTTAACCATTGCCATAACTTTAATAAGAATTTTCCTCTACTGTAAACGTGACAAAATTCCTAAAAATCAATTAGTTCTGTGAGGACGTTCAGAAAACAAATCCCTAACACTATACAGTCCTATATATTGGGCTACAAAACTAACGCGTATGTGTGTGTGTGTGGTAAGATTACGTTCTCCACGCCACTGTGGGTAAGTGAAATCTAAAACCATGATCCAGTGGTTTATTTAGTTGCACTTAAACAACCTGCAACCTGTTTATGTACAAGGCTGTCAGCTATATGATGTCAAGACTTCTGATGCTACCCAAACATCCATATTAAGCTAGGTGAACTTAAGCCTGATAAGCAAGAGGAAACGATTCGGTCAACGAACCGAACCCCACACTAAATTAGACCATTTAATCACACTTTTAGCAGCATAACAGGAAGTGGAATACAGCTGAAAGGTGGAACATAAAATGTAATACAAGAGGGCATGATATCTAACTATACAAAGTCAGATGAATTTAAACAGTAGTAAACGTTTTCAGCTTAGGTTGAGCACGTTATAGTATCTTTGTGCGAGTTTTCAGAGCACCCCTCTAGCACTACAATTTAGGATTGTTTAAAGGTGGATTTCCCCTGCTATTAGGATATAACGTGGGTCGATATTTCATTGGTATAACATCTTCCAACTACGCATATAGAACGAGATTCGATTCCCGGCCGATGCACTCCTAAACCTTACCTAGCTTACTAGCCGACAGTAAGCCTCTGAAAATAGGAAAGGTGAAGTTAGCAGATCCACCAATTAAAAATAATGCCAACACTTTCATTCAGAATAAAAAGTCAGAAAAGATCTGCATGTGGGAGCCATGGGCTGAAGAAACGAATAGCAACTTCAGCTGATCCCATTTACTGACATCACAATGGTAGTTGGACACCAGTCAATCACATAACTTTGTAATTTGGAAATTGGTCAAGTAGTTTTCCAGATATTCGAACGATGGTAATCAGAACGAGCGTGAGAGTTAGAGCGCAGTTAACCAAAACATATTTTGTATGCACTAGGCTGACAGCTTATTGGGTTGCTTATCCGATCAGTTCCTAGACCAGATACAGTGGATCGGCATTCGAATCCAGAGTTCACTAACTTAAGCCACGTTTGTAGTAAAAACTACGAGGTTTCCATGTCTATCTAAATTGTTTACTGTATCATTTAGACAGATCTAATTTTCCACAGACTTGGCATTTATGATGAGTAGTCTGCGCAAAATTTATTTTGAAATCCCCCTGCTAACTTGTGGTAGCAAGTGAAAAAGAGAATTTGTGCAATATAAACTTATATAGTATCTGTTCGCCAATCGGACCTCAGCACGTTTGGGTAAGAGTAAGAAAGTACAGTAATTCGCAATGGATGTGACTATTACTAAGATTCAGTCTCACCCACATTACTCGTGGCAGCATTGCGATTAGCATCCCAGTAGGAGAATTGTTCCGTGTGCATGGGTCAAGTGAGTAAAACAACGGTAGTATTCTGTTCAGGGCAGAGTAAGGTCGGAAAAAACGAGTTAATTCTGTAAACGTTATCGGTAACGCGCGGAAATATGGGTAATTATTCTCTGACCAAATGGGGAATAAGACAAAATTCGGGAGATCACGTGAGTATTTTGTGTTGCATTATATGAACATCTTTTCCACGCCTCAACCCATCAAAACTGCTCACTTTCCATATTATACCCATGTGTATTCTTTGACTACTACGGCTGAACAGTAAAGACAGTAAATAAGAGTTCACACTAACTTACTATCCAGGAAGAAATATGAGTGGCTTCTTCTCCTTATTAAGCTTCTGTAGGAGATCTGACTCTAGTGGACCGTAAGGTATTAGCGGGAGAGAATGTCCGGGCACCAAAACTACACCTGCACGGAAGAATGCATACATGTGTGTTTCACTTCCAGGTTCCAGAAAAGTACGACCTCCTACATCTACAAAATCTGCACGGAGATACTAAAAGACTCCTTAAGTGTACATTAATTTACCTTATGCAGACCAGGAAGTGTCCTATCAAAGTTTATATCGGAGGAACTTATGTCTTCTCCCGAGGGAGAAGGAGAACCAAATGTAGCTAATTGAAGATCTTCCATATTTCCAATGACTAGAATTTACTCTCAAGTATTTCCCTGACATTCCTAACATCCATTTTTCACACTACACCTACTATAAGCACCAAGCATCAAAGTCAGATAGAGGATAGCGGCACAAATGGCTTATGGAGAGGCTGAGCACTTGAAGGTCACTTACGCACGTTGTGATTGGTAGATTTTCCTTTGCGTAAACGTTGCGGCTAATACGTGCCTTACGTTACTGAGACGGGCTTTGAAATAGCAATAATGAGAGCGGATAGACATTATATTTTTTAGCTTAAGGGAACAAGTTAACATGCCTATAAATTTCACAGATGTGAGAAGCATTATATCCACTTGCAAGGAGAATATTACTGGATAACTTAATCAAAGAAGTATAAAGTTTGAAGATTTTATCTCTTTCAGTTAGTTGTAACGGATGGATGAGTCACTTGTATAATATTTGCTTTTAATAGAAGATAAAGTGTGACAGGTGATTTGGAAGTTACACGATTCCTGAAATCTATAGTGGAATATATGGACGACTAAAATTTGGTAAAGACCATGAAATCATGATTACCTCGATATTTAACCCCCTTCTCATCATTTACGTGAAATAAACTACAAAAATTGGAATTATCTAGCACTTTCTATCATAACTGACATTTTCCAACGAATTCTGTCATTTCTTATGCACCTTGGGGTGTCAATTCGATGAAAAGACAGCATTTCGTCAGCACAATAAAAACGACTATTTTTCCCACTCTTTACACGTTTTTTCGCTAAAATACGATTTTTGAAATGCATTTCAGCCGAAAAAACCACTGAAAACAACGTAGAATATCCCAAACACAACACCACAATAACACCTTAAAACTGTAGCAATCAGGAAAATAGATTTAGGCAGATTTTGATTGACTGTTGGCTAGCTGGCTTCCTATTGGTCTAAAATATAAGTTAAAGCGCTAATCCTTTTATTTCGACACGGAAATTTACAGTCAATGTGATTAAGGGCTTACCTTACCATAATATAATGGAGTGCTAATTTTTTTGGTGTGAGTGTTGCGTGTTGGTCACACGCTATTTGGATGCATTGGTAATGTCTAAACTACATTAGGATGCATGAGAATCTCTAATAAGTGAATATAAATCAACAAAAATTTCGATGCATTCATTTTAAGTCCAAAATAGGATGTACGCATTTTTGCTTACTAGGCGAATATAATTCAACTACAATTTCTAAGCATTTAATGTGTCCTTAAATAGTACATACAGATAAATGTATGTGTTAACTAATCTAATTTTTTGAGTTTCCAATTCAATGACCTGTGGGATTTGTGCACACTGGGTCAGCATAAATCAAGCAAATTTCCCTTCAAATGGCTGAGAGCGACAGTTTTAAGCATACTTTGTTTGATTGTTTCGTGATGACAGCGATTTGGAGTCAGTTATAAATTACACCGATGTGTGTCTTATTCATATGTTTTCCATCTGAGGATTCTCGGTTCAAAGCATATCCTGAATAACGGTGATTAATACGATTTATCACTTATGCCGCAGCTTAAAACAATTCTAAACTTATTCCTCGATAATGCCTTTTTATAGTAACTGAAGATCATATTTACCCACTATGTTCTGAAATGACACAGGTCGTGCTTAAAAAGACAGCTGCGTGCAGAATCAAAACTTTCCGCTCTGGAGTAACGCTAGTCCATGCTTAATATGTCCTGTGAGGGGTGAAACAACGTTGATAAGTAAACCCAGTAGGTTCGATTAAGTTCCACTCATGCTGAAAAGCCAGCGCAAGGTTTCACCGTCAAACAATGGCAAAATATTAGGGGAGTTTACTTTTACTATTATTAGCATAATATACGTTGACTAGTTCAATGATTGCAGTTTTACAATAATCCTTGAATACCAACATAATAACTGCGAATGCCAATGTAGTTGAAGGTAAGACGATCAATTCATGGTTGTTTGCTCAAAACCAACTGCCCCGATTTTCGCGGAGGCATCAATCAGCCAGTCATCGTCTCATCGGTCGCTGTTCAGAATGAAGTCAGGAGAAAACCGTCGGAAATAATGTTGTGATTTATTATTGTAATATTTGTTCATAGACCTTAGTTGTAAAGTTGGCTATATGTTAGTGTTAGAATAAATAATTCTCGAGTCGCCAAACTGGGTTCTGGATTTTGCGTCCGTTCGCACTAAGCGTTTCTGAGAAGCTTCGAGGAACAGCGTGAGTCCCAGCGTAGCGAGAGCTGGGCACTAACGGTTTATGAGAGGTGACTGGCAGTTTCTGACGGTGGAGTCAGTTTCTGACGGATTCGGACAGTTGGTGACAGTTTGAATAGTCACGGTTCATCTTTCCTGGTGCCGGCCAAGTCTTATTTGAACAAGCAGTATGTCAATGGAGTTGAAGATTGAACGATCAATTCTTGGTTCTTTGCTCAAAATCAACTGCCCCGATTTTCGCGGAGGCATCAATCAGCCAGTAATCGTCTCATCGGTCGCTGTTCAGAAAGAAGAGTAAAATATCGTCAGAAGTAACAATGATTTATTATTGTAATATTAGTTTTCAGACCTTAGTTGCTTAGTTCGTTTATTCGTTTTATATGTTGGTGTAACAATAAAGAAATAACAAGCAGCAGATCGGTGTTTTGGTTTTTGCGTCCGTTATTACTAAGCGTTTCTGAAAACTCAAAGGAACAGCGTGGGCCCGAGCGTAGCGAGAGCTGGGCATTAACGGTTTATGACACGAGACTGACAGTTTCTGACGATAGAAACAGATCTGGCGGATTGAAACAGTTGGTGAAATTTTGGATAGTCGCCGTTCATCTTTCCTGGTGCCGGTCAAGTCCTCTTTGAACAAGCAATATCTGGAACCTTTTTGAAATTGGGTCAAGTTCAACAATGCCTGGGTCAAAGAAGGGACAGAGTGTCTTGGATGCAAACAGGAAAGTAAGTCATGGTGACTTGTCTGTTAATTGTAACGATGTGTCTGATGTTATGTATGACATGGTTGATGTTAATGTTTCGCCGTTCAGGGATAATAGGAATATCAAGTTGCCTAAGTACGAATCTCGGTGTTTCGACGGAAACCCGTCTGATTATTTACAATTTGTAAAGGAGTTTGAGATCATGCTGAGTAGTTTTTTATTGACTGATGAAATGAAGTTAATGTATTTGATGAGGTATTGCACTGGAGATGCTTCAAGAGCTATACAGTGCTGTAAGTTTATGAAGCCAAAAGAGGGCTACTACGAGGCTATGAGCATATTACGTCAAAGGTTTGGAAGACCTTCGATGATTGCAGGGAAATTATTCGAGGCTGTTAAGGGTAATGGCAGGCACTTACAGGATGACTCCCAGGCACTCAACGAGTTTCTGGATAATCCGATGACTTACAAGAATGCATTGATTTCGATGAATTGCGCGAGTGATCTGAACTCAAGTTCAGTACTAGACGTAATAGCGAGACGCCTACCTACTCGACTGCAAAGGAAGTGGGTGAAGATAAGCTCCCGTATGGAGGATGACGTTATCGAGCCAAAATTTGATGATATCCTGAAACTAGTAAAAGATAGTGTCAATCAATCTATGAGCAAGTTCGCCAGTCTGTTAGATCTCACCCCTAGAATAGAGCAGTCTGAGTGTAAAATGCAATCATTGATGACGAATAGGCCTCAGAGAGGTGGATATCGAGAAGGCTCCATGATGTCTAGTAATGCATATAGATCTAGTGAGTGTAACAGCTTTCGTAGTACATCCTCAACAAATAAGTTACAAGATGCAAGACAAACACGGTTTTGTTTTACACGTGTGCAAGAGGTGCATACAGAAGTGAACTGTGAACCGGTGAGCAAGTTCAGTGATAAGCTAAATGTAAACTCCAGGCCTTACTCCGAATTGTGTGACGATAACGGTGCGGTGAAGAAGTCTGTAGTTGCAACTGGTAAGCCGTTGTTGAATAAAGTGTCACAGAATAGAGTCACTGCTTCAGAGTGCAGTTCTGACCCTACAAGTTTACAAGGTATTACTAGTCAGAGTGAAGAAATAAAACCTTTTAGGATTTGCAAGGAGGAATCGAAATTGTCTACTTCTGTTATTAAAGAGTTTGAAATTGATAAAGTTGACGGTAAAGTGAATATTTGTGGTGATGATCATGATACTTCACAGTTGTCTTTGGTTGATCATTATGAGATGAGGGATATGCCTACTACTGCTAAGTTAAATAAAGGTTCTGTACAACTACAGCGTGAAGTAGAATTGAACGCAGATGCAGTTCCAAAAGGTGTGCATACTTGTGAGAAAGTCAGTGTAATTGATCAGCGTGTAGCCCACCTATCATCAGATGATAGTGCTAAACCCGAACTAGTAGTGAAAGACAGCAGTGGTGGTAATCTTGCAGTTGGACAACTATCTGAGAGCCGAACAAGAACAGCTTCTGATCCACCACTAAGTTCATCACATTGTGTCACTCAGTCATCGTTGGTGCTGTCATCCACAATGAAACAGACACCCATCAACTCAAGTATCTTGTGCAATGACTATGGTAGTATCAGTTCGTTTGAAAGGACGAATATCAATGGTCAGTTTAGTGTGGATAAGCCAAGTGTAAAGGAGAGAGTAATTGTTAAATTGACTTGCATGAATAAAGGCATTTCTAGTTTCAAGTTACTAATTGAATGTTGTTATCTTTGGTGTAAATTACTCTGTTTCTACACTTGGTTGATGAGATATGTCGTGTGTTTGTTGGTCATCTATATTCTACGATACAATGACATGGGCGTGTTACTGTTCAGATTTGAGGATTTAGCTCTTAGAAGGAAGTTAGCAAATGAACTCTGCGACGATTTTCCAACCTAGGGCGTCAACCTGAGAAGGGTTGTAGGCGTACTGCTGTAAGTCCTACATTTCTTCAAAGGGTAGCGCATCAATGAGCAGTCCAATGTGCTTGGTGTATGATCTTGTACATATGTTCATATTGTATATACTGAATTGATATCATCTGTCATCTATCTGTTGGTAATTCTGTTTGTGTCCGGACGACTTCCACTTGGATCATCAACCTGAGAAGGAATGTAGGCGTACTGCTGTAAGTCCTACAGTTCTTCAAGGGTAGTTCGTCAAGGCAGAATCCGCAACATTTGATGTGTTGATTGTACATATGT